GGGAAAGAGAGAGACTGGGGGCCCCCGGCGAGCTGGGGGTGGTGGCTGAGGGGGGGTGGAGGAGACGGGGGAACAGACGGGATGGGGGGAAGCTTACCTGCTTCTTCCTCCTCCGCTTGCTCTGTGTGGAGCTCCCCCCCTCCTCCCCCCGCGATTTTCGTGTGTCCCCTTTCTTGTTTATACTGATTTCCCACAAGTGCTGCTCCACACTCACTCTTCCCTTTTGCCCCGATGGTATGTGTCAATTTCACACAAGCTGCTGCACGGCCGCATTTTGCCCTCAGCTTTACGTGATTTTCCCCACGTCTACTCAATCCTGTTTTTTGAGGATTGAGTAGATGTGGGGGAAATCACGCGAAGCTGTGGGGCAAAATGCGGCTGTGCAGCAGCTTGTGTGAAATTGACATGTACCATTGGGGCAAAAGGGAAGAGCGAGCGCACAGCAGTGCTTGTGGGAAATCAGCCTTACTTTACCTCCTTTCAGCCTATGCATTTGTTACACATCACATCTTTCTAGATCTCGTTGTATTGCTTTCACAATGGCTTTACTGCTAGTCATTAAATAAACACAAAAATCAGTATAGTTATTGTGGGAAGAGCAGTCTTTCAGTGTCATTCTATACAACATTTTACCCATTATTCTGATACATAGAATTTATAATTCAGTTTCCTAACAAAAGGCTTTAACGTTATGGAATCAGAAACATAACCTTTAATGCCATCATGAGCTATCTTAACAGATATTTGACAAAAACATTTAACAAAATTTTAAGTCAGTGTTTTAGATCAAATTCCAAAACAATTTCTAGTCATGACAAAATACGATAATTCTTTAAAAAATTCACTTAATTAAAACAATCATTATAAAAGAAAACAAATATAAAGACCCCAGCTCGCTGTAACTTTGCAGAATGCCAGGCGGGAGGGAATTGATTCTGTAGATAACGTGCTGGTGCTCCATTCACATGATGCAGGAGCCCACCAGCCATGCAGTTGGGAGCACGATATGCATGATTGCTGTATCATATGAAAAGGACAGTGCATGGGTTCCCATGCAGGTTCTGGTTTGCCTGAATGGAAGTTCTGCCTGCATAGAAAATTCCTTTCACACAATATGGTGATCACATATATCAAGATCATTGTGGAGATCTTCATGCTCCTGACAGACACATCTGGCATTGCATGAATGGAATGCCAGTGTATTATCTGCAGAACACTGAAAACATGAAGCCCATCCACTGAAAAAGAAAATACCTGCAAAAGGAACACAGTTGGCTATGTAAGTAACAACAGTACTTTCCCATCTGCCCCTGACCTGGATAGCCCAGGCAAGCCCGATCTCATCAGATCTTGGAAGCTCTGGCAAGTTCTGGGAAAGGTGACCTTGAAATACCAGCAGTCATATGGTGTGAGCAGGCTTTATTCAGCCACCCCTCTGAATATCCTCCAGGCGCCCAGTAGGGGTCAGTCACCAGAGGTCTCTGTAACTTCCAGGTGCATGCACATGCACGTATAAAACACACACACACACAAAACCCCAGTACATTCCCATCTGGAGCCATAGGTAGGATTGTGATATTGTGCTGTGTTAATAATTCATCTCCCAAATTTTCTTTTCAGGCCAGGAGAACCTAGGAGTTCCATGACTACAACTTTACAAGATCAAGATGTGTGAATTCAGTTCTACTGAACAATATATATGCATACTATATATATAATATTATATATTATATATGTTTTCCTCATTAAATAATAGTAATGTATTCACTATTTCTTACCAGGCTTCTTAATGATGAGGTTGATTTCTGAGCTTCTTATTCCAGCTGGGTATGTAGCAAAGCTGCACTCATACTGTCCTGCCTGTTCCAGACTAACATTATTCAGCTGTAAACTCCACTGGTTGCATTCTGTGTAGTTTGCTGTAAAATGACTGTGGCTGTTCAAGTCTGGCTGGTGATGCTGGCATTGTTGACTGAAGTTTACAGAATGGCTGTATCCCATTTTAGCAAAATGCAAGTATTGAATACCGTAGACAGGATTGTATATGGCTATCCTGGATAGCGGGGCAGCATCCCCTTTTGACCACTGAGTTTGTGTGACGTGGATTCCATCTTGTTTCAGAATGCAACACTGAAGGGTCACATCGCTGCCAGGAATGGCATAGACAGTTTTCTCATTCTCAATGGTGATTTCAGGCTGGGCTAAAACGAAAACCACAAATGCACACATTTCACAGTTAGTTCACAGAAGCACCCTTTAATTGAGTAAAAGGTTTCAATCAATTAATGTGGTAGACTTATCCATTGACAGTCCAGTCCTATGCAGAATTATTTCAGTTTAAGCCAATGATACTCTTGTGTGGCTTTTTAATATGCTGCCTGTGTCTCTTCTGCGTACTGTTTGCCAGAATGGCACCTGTGTCATGTTTCAGGATAGTGCAGATTGTGGTTGGTAACTGGTTCCCACCTTGAAACAGTGGGGATCAAAGCAGGTTATATTATTCTCCTCTTCTCCCTTTTATCTGCACAAGAACCCTGTGAGGTAGGTTAGGCTGAAAGTATGTGATTGGTCACAAATCACCCAGTGAGCTTCTGCAGCAAGATGAAGATTCAAACCTGGGTCTCACAGATCCTACTCTGACGTTCTAACTGCTGCACCACACTGGCTTTCATAGGGTGGCTGCTGTTGAACTGTAGCAAGCAGCCAGGCCTAACTGGGTCGTGCAAGTCAGAGGGTTTCAAGTCATTCAGAAGTTGCTTCCAGGCCTAGGGTTGCCAACCTCCAGGTGGTATCTGGGATCTCCCAGAATTTCAGCAGATGACAGAGATTTGTCCCCTTGGAGAAAATGTCTGATCTGGAGGGTGGACTCTATAACCTTACATGTGGCTGAGGCCTCTTCCATCTCCAAACCCTGCACTCCTCATACTTCAACACAAAATCTCCAGGACTTTCCCAACCTGGACCTGGCAACCCTAGTCTGGCTTGGCCTCAACGAGTCCTTCCTCAAAGGCCAAAAAAGCCTGGAAAAGCCCCTTCCCCTGCCTTTTACTGATAGAACCAAGCCTTGGAATGCTGTGGTTGTAACTTGTAACAGCCACTGAAGGAATCTTTTGCTTAAAGTTACATGCACACCTTTGATTATTTTCAGGTTTTTTAAACCCCTCAATGTATCTTTTTTTTTAAAGTTTTCACATTTTTATACAAACCTGGGGCCCTTTTCAGGCTTGTAGAAAGATCTATTTTGCCTCTTCACAGCTCCAGTCCCCAGATTTAAGTATTCTCAGATTTGGCTATTAATATATAGACAAGTGGGGACCTGTGATACTCATGGGGGGTAATTCCTTTCCCTGTCTTAATTACTCCCCAATCACTGCTGCAGTCCTTGGGGCCATCACAACTCTTTACCCCATCAATGGTGGCAAGCCCAGTGCAGTCCCCCAACTGCCGAGCCCAACAAGGCTTTCCCCTCCATTGACAATAATGGTGGCACTGAGGCCTGTGTGACTCACAGCCACTGGGCCCGCTGAGGCTTCATCCCCCCAGACAGCAGCAGTGAGACCTGTGCGGCTCACAGCCACTAGGCTCCCTAGCAGCCACCATAGCCAAACTCTGCCACAGCTTCCAATGGTAAGTGCGTTCTCTGCACATGCACAGAGAACATTTTTTAATCTGGGGGAATTTAAACCTCCTCCATATAGTTTTTTAAAAAAGATTTAATGTTCTTCTGCAAGCTTTGGGAGTGTCCCAAGCTTGCTGAACAAAAATCTCTTTAGCCTTTCTGCAGATAGGGAGCAGACGTGGGACATAGTATATAAATGTGTTTAGAAAACATATATAGTATGTAGTATATGTAGTATACAGATGCATTTAGAAAACACAAAGACCTGTGTTCAGGACAAGAAAAATATAAAAGTGGGGGGGGGACACACACCAGGGCAAGTAATAGAAGTCATAAAAAGGACTACAGGAAGTGCTGCAGGATAGACCGCAGAGAGGTTTACTTTAGTTCAGCATTTTGTATTCAGTAAGCTGCTTCACTTTTGACAGACTGTTATACAGGAAATTCTTTCTGAGAAAAATTCTCAAAAATGTGCATGAAGATCAAAGGGCAACATCGGCAGGGAATCAGAAATAAATATTTTAATAGTTAAATTTTATTAACGGCCCTTTTATCTCTAAATGTGTTGCAACTTTGAATTTCGGTATCTTTCAACTTGTTGTGAGAGATCTTATTAACAGGCCAGTGTTTTTAAGCTTGTGTGTCTGAAGCTCAGCTGCTCAGTCTGGGTTTAGGTTTATAATCTTATACAGAGACTCAACTGATTACATTATCTGTTAGGATCAAGCACACTTGTGCAACTCCAAAGTGCACACTTGCTTAGAAATAACAAAAGCAAGGACTGCTGCAGCATCACAAATCATGTGCTTGTATTGACTTTGGGCACATTCTGTCAGGAACTTCAGCCAATGAAATCCCATTGAAATGAACAACAGCTGTGTAAGGTTACTAAGATTATCATAGTTCATCATTGTAGCTTCTGTGCAGGCACACATGAGGGACTGCATGATTGCAGGCCAGCTGCAGAGTAGAGCTTCCAAGCTTTTCTGAAGAAGTTTCTAGTGATCCCCCTCCCCTCTGTCTATAGAAGTCCCCTTTCCCGCCCAAAGGGTCATGCAACAGAGGCAGGGCGAGTACTCCTTCCTTCAGTTCTCTTCTTGCTGTCATGAGGAGAGGATATGCTTCTAAACTGCTGCTTTGTGGGGCCTCAGGAATAAAATTTCAAATTGGAAGGATCGGAAAATGGCCCTAAATGATGATATGCTTCCTATGTCTGGGAGAGGGCCACAATATAGCAATGTGCCCAGCTTGTAGATGCCTTACTCTTAAGGCACATGAGGGGAGAGTGACAAGACTTAAACCTGCACCTTGGGAAAAAACTCTGGGCGCCCCAGATCCCCGTGGGGAGAAACAGGCCCAAACATATAAGGGTTTGAGGGCCCATTTGGTGACTTTGGCACTGACACCGTCATTATCAGAGCTGCAAACTCAAGTCTCCGCCCCCAGATCAGCATTGGAACCACCTCCAAAAAAGGCTAAAAGGTGATCCAAACACTCACAGTGCAGTCTGACCAGATCACTGTCACATTAGCGCCTCCTCAGAATTGACAGAATCACCACAGAATTGTAGCTCGCCCATTTGAGATTATCAATCCTCCCCACCCTGACCCCAATGATTGGTCTCTCCTCGGAGCTGAGCATCAAACTGACGATCTTCAAATCAAAGTCCCCCCAATGCCACAATTTGCCACTGCGCTCGATGTCGACTCATTTTTGTGTCCAAAGATGCCCTCGCCATCGAGAAAGGTATCAAGGTTCCCAGATTCCTTGGAAGATGAGGTTTTTGAGTTGCCTCTCATGGGCCCACCCATGTCACAAGACAAAGGGCAACCAGATCCAGAGCCACCAAACAGTGGCTGTCTCAGCAAAATCCATGGGGCCTGCTTCTATTCTTGATGCAACTACAGTGGGCACAAGGGGCACCCCCACAGGATACATACCCATGGCAACCTGTAAAATCTTCCACAAGATCCAGACGAGAACACCAGCACCAATACCACTCTGACATGGGTTCCCCCCATCACGGTTCTGATTTCGAGGACACACTCTACCAAATTTCAGAAGCAGTACTTCTATGCCGTCTCCAGAAGATACAGCCATTGACCTGTTGGCTCCCTCCTCAACAGAGAACCTTAAGATATATTTGGAGCAGTTGATCTGAATGGCAAAAGCCCTGAGTCTAGAGTTTAATGCTTCAGAGCCGCAACTGTCCGGCCCTATAATGGTTTAGTACAGTCCCAACTTGGGCTCTATGGCATTCCCACTGTTGCAAGGGATACAGGACATCGCTTTAGCCATCTGGGTTAAACCAGCCTCGGCACCAGCTTTGTCAAAGAAGCTGGAACATCTCTATAGGATCAGTAAAGAAGGCTGTGACTACTTGTTTCACCACCCTCAAGCAAACTCCATAATCTCAGAAGTCTTACCAGCCAAGGGAAGAGCTGAAAGCCATTCATCCCCCCTTGATAAAGAGGGCAGAAGACCCGATCTACTACTCCAAGGTTATAGGACTGAGGGTGGCTAATTTTACAGCAGTCATGGGTCACTACAAATGTTACTGTGGGAATAGATGCCACAGTTTCTTGAGTACCTGCCTTTTGATAAGCAGTGTGTAGCTAAGATCATGGCAGAAGGACAAAAATTAGGGAAA